TATGTATGTATGTATGTATGTATGTATGTATGTATGTATGTATGTATGTATGTATGTATGTATGTATGTATATATATTTGTGTGTGTGTGTGTGTGTTTGATATATGTGGCTTGAATCCATGTTATTTGTGGGGATGTCTTCTCCAAACAGGGCTCGCCTGCTCTGTATGTTCTAACCATGAAGCAATTCTTCAGATCTCTTTCTCTGAAATGTTAGAGATGATGGAGATTTGAAATGATATTTCATTCTGTAATAGTCTGTCACCCAAGGTTTAGATGCCCCCTCAGTTTATTTGTTTGTTTATTAAATTTATATGCTGCCCATCTCACTGTCAAGTAATTATTTCAAAATTGAGAAGAGCAATCAATATGTTCTTTCATTGAACCTTGGGGCTAGTGGTGTCTATCACATAATACTGTCCTTATTTCATTAGATTATTTAAATTAACTACTTTATTATGTTTTGCTTAATATCTACTATCTAAATCTTTGGGGAGTTGGATGAGATCTAAATTAAATAACGTCATTAAATACATACGTTAACCACAAAACAAACTTTGCATTCTTTTCCCCCCCTCTTTATTCAGGTTTGGTGTTTTTTGTTCATTTACTAATTGAAGATTGCTTTTATTTCTTTTTATTGTTGTTGAACAGTACTAAACAGTACTAAATAGAAATGGCCGTAGTTGGTGTAGATGAAGTGGTAGTTGGTGTAGATGAACTGGTAATTGGTTTAGATGAAGTGATATGTGAGAATGACGTTGGGAGATAGAAGGAAGAGTTGCAGACTAGGAAAAGGTCATAGATGAGGCAGCTGTGACCCCAGAAAAAATGGGGATGTGGCAAACATTACTGAAGGGACCCTCCCCAGTTTCTTGGGATAAGGAGGAGAGAAGTACTTTCAGATTTGCAAGATTCTGATAATATAACCTTATCATAAAGTTGAGGCTAGTACTCCTGGAAGTGTTTCTTGTCTGGATCTTGCAAGGCTGACTGCTATATATGTCAGCAAATTTCTAGGAAGAAATTTTGTATTTCCTGAATTCTCACAGTAGCTGAGGAAAACATGTATTTGAGTTGAGGTGGTCTGATAGAGGAGGTGACAAGTTGCAACCACGTGCCGCCATCCGGTTGTCACCTTCCTAACAACTCATCTCTTAGCTAAAATGCATCTTTTCCTTATACAATGTGGCTCCCATGGAAACCCAAGAAAAGGCACAGAAACATAAAAGAAGCCACAAAGTGCAGCAAGGATGGCCATGCTAGGATTAGAAGCACTTTTGTTCATTTCAGCTATGAATATTTCACACCTCAAAGAGCATAACAAACAACAATAGGTTCAGCATTTAATTTCGGTCTTTTAACTGACTAAAAGTCACAATATCCTGCAGGCTCTGATATATTCATCAAAATAAGAAAAACGATACCGTTGTCATGATGCAAGCACCGTACTTTTCATTCATGTGTGCACCACGTTGATACATGTACAAAAGGATCAGAGCTTGAATATTGATGGCACAATGCTGCTTTCATCATTCCCTGTTTGACCATCACGGCAGACATTTCTGTGAGAAATAGCAAAAATGTAGGGATGATAAAGGCAAATGGATAGCATTACTCGGCAGTGTGGGAAAGGAAAGACATAGAAGCTGATAATCCTTGATCATTTTCATATAAAGCTTTGCCTTCCAAAGTGGCTCTATTTCTAGCAAAAAGGTCAGTTAGTAGCAATCTTTTTTGCATACATTACATCTCAATATTTTGATTAGTTGGATTGTGAGAAATAACTTGCTATGATTCAGTGAACATAATTTGGATTTTAAAAATTAAGTAAGTACACATTTATATACTTTTGAAGGTAATATGCAAAGCAATTCATTCACATAATAAAGTTCTAAAGTTTATTTTGGATATGTTGGGATCTGTTGCTTTAAAAAAAACTTTTAATAGCTTTATTGTTGTTCAGTGCTACCCAGGATTATACTACATAGGTTGGGCTGGTGTATAAACCAAGTAAATAAATAAATAGGCATCGTATTGAGATAGTACGGTTGGTTGTGATAACAAAAATGGACAGAGGTTACATTATTTATCCAGGCTAATTAATACATTGCAAGTGTTAAATGAATCAATGGTACTGTGCTCTTTCACATATTTATCTGGGAATTGATCTCAGTTATGTTAGTGAGTTAATAAGGATGCATAGATTTGCTACATCCCATTCCATACATAGGGGCAAACTGTTCAGGAACTCTACAAGGTAAAGTCATAGTTACTCAGGACCCTGGACAGCTCACTGTGAAACTAGTTATGGCTAACATATTGGCTAACATACTTGGTAAGTAGCAACATAGAACCAAGAATTTACCTTTTCCCCCTAAAGGAATATAATTCTCAATTGAAGGTTATCTCTCTTCCCCACAGTATGAACCCACACCCACAAATACTACACAGAGTCCAGTTTCTCCAACTTATCATTCAAAACTTTCAAATCGATTTGAAATTAATCCTAGATACCTTTCAAGTCGCTCTGTGTGGTTAGGGGGAGAGGGGTTTCCATGTTTCTACCTATATACACACTAACAGAATCCACAGGGAAAAGAAAAAAATGGGCAGGGCTAGGGTTTAAAAAAGAGGGGGATGAATAGGAACAACTGGTTGAAATTATTTTCCTGTAAAACAAGGTGCCCTGTTATATTTGCATGTTCAAACCATTCTCAAACAAAGCATTTTTTTTGGTAACACATACAAATGTACAAGTTCAGATTTCCAAAAGGAAAGAAGGAAGGAAGGAAGGAAGGAAGGAAGGAAGGAAGGAGCAATTTTGAGATTTTAACGCGAAGCTCTATAGAATTGATATTAAATATGACATCTTACCTCATGTAGCACAATAGGCAGGAGAGAGAAAAGCTCTGTCATTGCTACTTCTTCCCTGAGTGGAAGATACAGAAGGATATGCCTAGAGTCCCAGAATACACAAGAATCTCCATCCACAGACTTCTGAAGGATTTTTCTGGAGTCTTTTGTGGTAGTGAGGCAAAAGCAGCTTTCTTCCTATAAATAGTGTCTACTTTTTAAAACAATAAAATAATCCTACCTCATACAGATGAATGGAAGAAAAAGAGAGGAAGAAGCATTGTGCATTCTGTCTAATGCTCCTAGATAAGTCAGGATAAAAATCTGACATATTTGAAAAGATGGCAGGTGACCAACTGGTGGTCTGTGGATCACTGGTGGTCTGTGAGATAATTTTGGTGGTCCACATAAAAATTATTTACATTTTCTATAAATCAAAGGTCCTCAAACTACAGCCCCTGGGCTGGATACGTGCAATGAATGTTTGTGTCGCTGCAAGAGTCTCCCCCCCTTGGGGTCTTTTTGTGTGGGTCAGAGGAGGGCAGAAATTCCAATTTGGGGTCTGCTTCAGCCGCTTGGTGTAGAGGGTTGGCCGAAGGCTGGAGGGAAGTGCTGCTGGTGGCAAAGAGCTGGAGGGCTCTGTTCCAGTGGGACTGTATCATGACCTGGAATTGGCTAACCATCTCAGCCCGCTGAGCCTCTAGGCACTGCTACCTGGCCTTGAATTCTGGCAGGTCTTCCTTCTGCTTTGCAAACCAATGCTCGTAGTCCTTAGTGAGGTGCTTCTGCTGAGCCTCCTTCTTGGTCAGATCCAATTTGAACTGAGCCAGCTCTTTCTTGCTATGGCTGGTTAGCTCCCACAACTGCTTCCTGTTGGGGCCCTAAGAAGCCCGGGCGGGCAGGCGAGGAGTGGCTTGGAGGGGAGGGGCGAGTACTGGCTGGCGAGGCTTCCCTTGACATGAGTGACGTCAAGTTGGCCACATCCACCCAGTCACATGACCACCTAACCACGCCCACCCAGCTGGTCATTAGGCAGATATTAGTGATCTGCGGGATTTAAAACAATGAATTTAGTGGTCCCTGAGGTCCGAAAGGTTGCTAACCCCTGATACAAGAGATGTTATCATCTGACCAAAGCAACACTTGAAAAATGTTGTGCCTTATGTTTTGAATTAAATGCTGTTTACAGTGTGCTCCGTTCTGTCAAATTATAGCTAGTAATGAACCATTTACATAGACAGAAATACAACTATTTTACCAAGTAACCATGGAATCTAGATACAAATGCCAAACCATATAGCTAGTCTTAACATTTGGACAACTGCCTTAGACAGCTGGTAATGAGTATTAATAAAGAGTAACATATTGTTATGTATGTTTCTTTTTTACTGTAAAAGGTATAAGAAAACAGCTTATGCTCTCTTTTTTTGCCTCGGTTGAATACATGAACTTTGTCTCGGGGAACAGGACTCAATCTTACAAAGCCATATGCTTTGGAATGACTATCCTATTATCCTTTGGAAAATGAAATAAAAATGATACAGAGGCAGTCCACATCGATCTTAGAAAGCCTTGGCTCATAGTACCTTTTAGTGTAAGGCACATATATTCTGTTTTTTCCCCAGAATGGAAAAATATTTGATATAGTTTAATCTGACATCTTTACATGAAAGTCACATGTTAGTTTTATTTTCAATCTGTGCCAAAGAAGCTGTGGCTGAGAACATTTTTTTTTTGCTTACGTAGGGTGTAATATGAATCTGGTTTCTTCTCTGAATCTTTTACACAGATATGTTGAAAAATTTTCTAATGCAGATTAATTACTTGTTTTAAAAAAATGTTTTGCAGAGAGTTGGATTGAAAGATGTCTCAGTGAAAGTGAAAACAAACGTTATTCCAGCCACACATCTCTGGCAAATGTTTCTAATGATGAAAGTAAGTATGTTTCATTTTCTATAGAAATATATAGATTCCCATTTGTTAAAAAAGACTTGAACTTTATAATGTCTGTGTAGATCTAGGAAAGTCAGGGAGCACCCATCCACATCTCCAAGCAGAGAAAAGGTTAGAGTTAGATTACAAATGCATCAGCCAGAAAAAACAGCATTTTATATTTATAACTAGCCGATAACCTGGCGTTGTCTAGGTATTTATTTATAGGGGGAAAATGTCCAGACCAAACGTAATTTCTAATATTGGATTTTCCCCCTTACCAGAGGAATTCCCCCTTGTGGAGTACTGTGAAGCTGTTACCATGGCAACTCCACTGCGCTGTACAGTAGAAACCATTTTAAGGCATAACAGGCTGTATCTTAACAGAACACATACCCAGAGTGGTTTTAGGGATGTCTTGCCCCCACAGTATTTGTTTCCACAGAGTAAGTCATCTGTGTACCAAGTTTGGTTGAAATTGCTCAAGGCGTTCCAGAGTTATGTTGGAACATACAAACACACAGCTGTGTGTATCTATATCTATATCTATATCTATATCTATATCTATATCTATATCTATATCTATA